GGGACCTCGGCAAATGGAGTCAGGTTTTATTCTCCAACGAAAGCAGAATGTGCTTACATGGCAATGACAGGAGACGGTGGGTGTATAGGCGACCAGGAGAGCGATTTTCCCAATGCTGTATTGAGCCAACTGTTGCGTACGGATGTAACTGTTGTATGTTCTGGGCGGGAATTTCAATAGGCGGCAAAAGAAAGATGGTTTTCGTCCCTGGTGGAGGTCGTAGAGGAAGATTAACGGCAGACCGCTACATCACGGACATTCTTCAAGAGTATGTGGTACCGTATGCGGGATTTGTTGGTGATCGTTTATGTTTATGCAAGGTAATGCTCGATCCCACACCGCGCGAGTGATCACCTCTAACTTAAATGAAGTTGTTATACCGACCATGGTCTGGCCTCCACAGAGCCCGGACTTAAATCCTATCGAGCATGTTTGGGATGACCTTAAGAGATGAGTCCGAGCCAAAAATCCAGCACCAAATACCGTAAGAGAATTGATAGAGCCGAAGGAAGCAATCCCTTAAGATACCATTAAAAATGTAATTAGGTCAATGCGTAATTGGTGATTAGGTGTCATTATAAACATAGGTGACAACACTTAATATTAAAAAAATAAAAACATAATTTTGTTCATTGATTTATTTGTTTTTCGTTTATTTACCATTTTTATATTTTAACTCTTTTGTGTTATAAATGTTTGTAGGCCTATAGACTTGTTAAAACTGGTCCAATTTGAGTCATTATGGTATTATTTAAAAGCAGTTTTATTGAGCTTGTAAACAATACATATAAAATTAATCAGTATGCTGTTGTAGGTTACACACATTCTTTTAAAACTCAAGCTTGTTAGTGAGTTGATTTTTTTGCACCCAAGTGTATAAACATAAAATAATGTACTCACCTTGTTTAACTTTGACAGGTACTACAAACTACAATAAATATTTTACTTTGTTGAGAAAGCGTTGCCGAGTTCAACTCGGCGAGTTGTGAATATTATATTGTGTGAAAATGGCGTCACGTATTGGACATTTTAAATTAAGGGACATCAACTTAAATGCTTGTCACCAAAATGTTTTAGGTTCTTTTTTAAAACAAAAATTAGTTAATTACTTTATACACTTCTACATATTAAATAAAAAATATTATACTTATGACTGCAGAAACAATATTTTTCCAGCAGTCAGTAAAGTTCATAAATCTTTGCTATAGTCACGGATTGGACATTTACTATATTTCAAGGTAATTTAAATACATTTTCAATACCTTATTGAGAGATTTTGTACATAATTTCAAGAAGCCGAGGATTGTTTTATCAGATCTATTCTTCACATTTCATTAACGATTACGAAAATATTAAATTCTAATCTCAGGACAGCAAGTGGCCAACTTTTTAAAATATACCCATATTTAGATTTACTATTTAAAAAATTACTGCCAAATGTATCTAAAACATCAATTTAAAATTACACAGATTTCGGATTAGTCAAATATGAAATATCTTAATAGTTAAGAAAATTTATTATTATTATCAAAGGTTCTCATTTCATTAAGAATAATATATTATTATTTAAACAATTGCAATTTTTAAAACTGTAAAATTTATTGGATTAGTTAGTAATTAATGCATTTATTTATAATGTAATTTTCAGAATTTCTGATTTTTTTTATTTTCATTATTAATACTAAAGTATTATTACTAAATTACTAATCATAAATAGTACATTACATATCGAGTGGCAAAAGGCGGTGATTTCTGAAGAGAGTAAAGTTTACTGCACAAGCAAAGCAAGAGAAATTATTCCGTCAATAAAGTTAATATTATTATTATTTTATTATTTAATCGTAGATTTTCGCCACAACATGTGACATTTGTACAGGGTGATCCCCTATAATGTCACCCCCCTTTAACTTTTTTATTTTAAGTAACCCAAAAAATATAAAAGTGTGGTTATGTAGGTACTAAAAATACTTTTTTTCTACGTATAAAAAATGGTAAATTGATTTTTCTCACCCCATCACCCCATATATGAATTTAGTTTTCGATTTCTTGTAAAATTCAAAGCAAAATTCATATAACAAACCATATACCTAAATTCAACAGTTTCTGAAATATTAGCATTTGAAACGTTATCATCAAATATTTTTTTAAACTGTTACAAATCAAGTAGCCACAGTATAACAAAATGTTTATTGAAAATAAATAACTATAGTGATATTATGTCAATATTTCTTGTTAAGTAAGTAAAATGGCGTACTCAGACAGAGAAAGACAAACAATTTCAACTAATTATCTTAAAAATAATTTAAATATTTAAAAAACGGTTAAATTTAAGTATATGGTATGTTATATGAAATATGCTTGGAATGCAAGCAATCGAAAAATAAATTCATATATAGGGTGATCCATTGAGAAAAAATAAACTTTTTTTCCTGTATAGGTACTAATCAATTTTTCATTTTTTTATACGTAGAAAAAAAAAATTTTTAGTAACCACACTTTTTTGGAACACTTAAAATAAAAAAGTTAAAGGGGGCAACATTATATATAGGGGATCACTCAGTACACTATTTTTCATGATAAGCGCAAAGATAATTCGACTATTGCTGCCTTTTGAGAGATAGAGAAAAAATCATTAATATTAACGCGTTTTATATATTCTTGAGCGGAGCATAGTTAAGTTAACGCATAAACAAAAAATCAGTCCTACGTATCTAAAGACACGTTTACAGCTTCAAAAGTCGAATGTTCGCTGCGCGTGTCATTGAAAATATAAGTTTTTTAATTAAACTTTAAATAAAAAAATCCTATGTTAAACAAAAATGTTTTTGTGTATTTTTAAAAGTCATTTTAAAATTTTTAACAATCTTAATTTTTCAAACATGAGTAAAAGAGTAAACACTGAGTTTAGGGCAACATTTGTATTCCTTTTTTCAAGATAATATAAAAAAATACATAAATGAAAGTGGATTTAAAAAGTTTTTCTCTAATAATTATTTTATTAACAATATAAAAATCCTTGTCCAATTTAAAATTATTATTTTATTTATTACAAAAACTATATTAACACATTTTTAACGTCTTATAAAATTTGACGAGGTGCCTTTTTTATAGGAATCCGGTCTGTTTGCTATTTTTTTGGTCAATCATTTTAAATAAATAAATATAATAAATAATGGAAATTTTCGCAAATGTTTAGTTGCGCCATTTTTGCCATGACTTGTTATGTAACGCTCCCTCGGGAACTTTTTCGGTGGATTTCTTTTTCCATTTTTCTCATTCGTCTGAAATCCAATTTAGGTTTTTTGTGTGTATGTATGTATGTTTGGAAGGTATTCGGTAAGTCTAAAATACGACACATCGTCAAAATAATGTATTAATAAATCAGTCTTTATGCAGCTTCTTCGCTCTGCATTAAAAACGTGTACCCAATTCGATTCCTATGTCATTCCTTTTTCATTGACATTTTTCGATATGAATTTATACTTGATTTGAAAACGTTGTATGTACACTTCACGTCTTGTATTCATAACGGATTGATGAATAATATTATATTGTTGATGCTTTTGTGCGATAAGAAATAAATTTTGCAGTTTTTTTAACGCTTTGTTATATTTTATTTGAACTGGATAAATTAAATAATATTTTAAATTAAATTGTTTTTTTATAATACAGGGTGTAACATGGTAACTACTGTTCTCGGTCGGGCATAAGGTGAAAGTAAGTCTTACTTTGATATTGTTTAGTGTGTACCAGAGACTTAAAATTAAAAAGTAATCTTAAATGATTATGTAAGCTAGTTCTGATATGGTTTACAATAACAATAGATCAATTTGGTGACCCAAAAATGTTTAATAAAAATAAAACAAAAGTAACTAAAAAAATTAATTCATTAAGTACAACTATTACTTGTTGTTATTATACCATGGGTTAATTTAAGTATTTTCGATCCCAGAGTTTTGTATCAATGTATCTGTAGGTCAGTGGCACTTAAACAGCCTGGGTAGACTCTAACAACAGCAAACAGTATAGCTTAAAACAGGATTAAACAAACCTTTGACATTAAAATAGCCATAATAGTGCATAAGCTCTCTAGACACTAACTTGTTCCCAAAATGGTTTATTTTCCCCAAAACAAAAAGGTTTAAAAGGTTTCCTTATCCCAAAGCAAAATGGATCATTTTCCTGAAATAACATGGATTCCTTGCTCCTAAAGCAAAATTCTTTATTAGCTTCTAAAGTTAAACTAAAATATTACAGTAGTTAGTACTTGAACTAAAAGGACAAACAATTATTATGGAAACCCTTTCGTTTAATTGTTTTCAAACTAACAATGAGGCTCTTCTTAACTATTTATTTCGTTAAAGCTATAACCACCTACTCCAGTCGGCAAATTTCATTAAAGATGATACACCAGATCCAGCCAATGACCACCAACCTAGAGCTTAAACTACTTAAACAAAAATGGCGCTACCCCAACCAATATTGTATGTGATATACTTTACTTAAGTATATTCGTATACACTAGTGCTATTAGTACTATTGACAACTTTGCATTGTAAATACCATGCATACGAAATGATTAAGCGAACCAAATATAAACGTTAGAAAAAAATTTAATGGTGGATTCCTTAGGATCACAACATAGGAAAATGAAATCTTATCAATTGGTTTATTTGGTAATCCTAATAAAAGAAAAAACATGACTTTGTAGGTAGTTCAGTAACGTGCATACGGATATTGTCTTTTGTCAAAATTATCATTTTGCGTTTAGTTTGCATCTCTTTCCATTATTTTATAATTAAACAGTTTACCACAGCCTACACAGGTTAATTAAGGTAACTGTGACATAATCCAGTATGCCATGGCATTATACTAGTCTTAGAAAATGGCAAACAAGTAGATAAGCATTAAAAACGCACTACTAAATAAAATAATATATAAAAAATTAATAAAAATAGACTAGATATAATAATTAAAATTATTGTTGTTGTACTTTTTAGATATATATAGATTAATGCTAAGTGACAAACGATACGGTCTATCTGTAAATTTAATGGCTACCAAAGTAATGCCGTCGCTTCTTCCGCAAACCGTAAACCCATCTCTAAACCTTGAGCAATTTACAATACTACTGGAGGTGCTTCAGGAGATGCTGGACCAAATTGATCGTAACCAAAGGAACAAACTTAAACTCGACAATCTATCTCTTCCAAGTCCTGAACGACATAGGTAAGATAAATGTAATCCAACAATATATGTAGCAACAAGTAAGGTTTTTGGTAGCTTTAAAGCTAATTTCAAGTCATATTAATGCCATGATCATTGATTATCCTTTCATCAATATTCACGATGTTCTATGAAATGAGGATTTGTTATTAGATATAAAACTTTTTCTATAGAAAATGTTTTATATCTAATTACAAATCCACAGTATACTGCATAAAATTCTTTATGGCAATATTTGTTGCTATTTTCGGTTTTATGTAGATAACCTAACCTACAATTAAATCGGTAAGTAAAAAAAGATTCCAAGTCCAAAAAATTATCTATGTTATCGTCTAAGACTGTTTTTCCACTCATTACTTGCGGTTTCCTTCAATGCACTGGGGACTCTTACCGATTCAATTTTTTTCCATTATAATCTATATCCGGCAAATTCATATTGAATTTTTTTCTCATTACAATAGGCAGGGATGAATATTTAAACATTTATTTTAATTAAAGTGAAGTATGAAAAAGTTATTGTTGGTGTGAAAATATTAAAAATGGAAGGTGTTCGGCCCCAAAACAAACCTACAAGGGTATTTGGGAGTTCAGTCATTGATGGTTTTTAGAGTGTTATTATGGGCATCTAATGAAACGACTCAAGCCAAAATAATACAAAAGTCGCGCATCACCTATAAATTGTTGAAAAAATTCTACTTTTACGCTCCAATTTTTTTTAATAATATAATCAAGGTAAACCTTTTATTTTTAGGTATAAAAATTTAATTTTTACGCAATTTTAAATAATAAATATTGAGTTTTTAAACATAAAAATAATAAGTTTACCTTGATTATATTGTTTCAAGTCTTATTACATAGATAAGGTCTAATGTACCTACAGAATGGTTTATTTAGGAATTAATGTTTTATCTGTTGAAAACATGCATTAAGAATACGCATGCGTTTAGCAACATGATGTGCAACAATTGATTATCACAGTAATTCAAAATTAGATTCTGTCATAACATTTCTAAATATTGATTTCTTTCTAAATATTGATTCCTTTAGTACTTAATGACTATTCTGATATGTATGTTGTTTGAATTTCATTTATCCTGTGTGTGTAAATGTAATGTTAATATTTAACGAACTCCCTCCCTGTATTTGCTTTTGTCTGACGTAACCTCTAAGTAAAAGTAAGTTTGTTGTCAAGATGATAAAGAATAATTCTTAAACTACCACTTTATTAGTAGGTACCTACGTAATGTTTCCTTTTCAAAAAACGATGGAAGCTTTTTTAAGAATTTTCTGTGATTTTTTGGGGAATTTAAATAACGTATTTTAAATAGCCACCATGCTTTTCTAAAAACTAAAATCGGGCCTGGTATGGCGAAAGCAGAGGATGTTCGGCAACCCAGTACCAAAAATCTTACTAATTTACATATCCTGATAAGTAAATCTTGCGGTATAATTTTATGAACAATTTGATTGTATAATTTTATGAACATTTTAAATTGTCCAAGTTAATTTAAAATTTTTTATTTTAGACCACTTCGTCATCAATACAGCTCTGACAATATGCACGTGCCACCGTTTAACATTCCAAACTTGAGGATAGAGCAAAGAAAAACATCGAGTGCTGAAGACATGGCTCGAAAAAATTCCACCGGTAAGTTCTTTTTTCTTCTTTTTTTTGCTCCTCGTACTTTTTTCTTATAGTAAATACAAAACTTGTAAATTCTCTAAATAATCGAAGACCGAAGGAAGACGTCCAGTGCTGAAAATATGACAAGGAAAAATTCCATTGGTGAGTTTGAATATTGTTGGTGTTGTCCGAAAGACTTGTGTCTGTCTGGACGGTTGTTTTTTATTGTTGGTATTTGGAAACAACGTATTGTTTTTAGCTCGTTCGGTGTGATCACTTTCTTGCTCGGTTTGCAGTCGTAACTTCCGTGACGATTTGTGTCCAATTGGCACAAATCGTCACGGTTTCGTCACGTTGTGTTACCTGGGTTACGACTGCAAACCAACCAAGAATGTGTTATAAAATACCTAAATACTTAAAATATTCGTTCAAATATGTAAATAATTTATTTATTGTATACCTATTATATTGTGCTATGCCAAAAACCATAAATAATTTTAAAATAACTATAGTTATATTCATATTCATTAAACTATCACAAGAAATTTTTAATATAATTTATTAACGTATTTTAGGGTGGTCCTTAATTGGGGTGTTTTTGAAATGTTGCCTTTCAAGGGGATGTAATTGCTTTTGTCAAAAAAATTATTCTGATAAATTTTAATTTTTAATTGTTAGGGGGGGCCCCAAGCATGTTTTAAAAAAATGGGCATTTAACGTCAGCGTGATTATGGCTGATTCTACAAAAGTTGGGCAACTTTTGACCTCATTTTGTTTATATAGTTTTCGGAGAAAATATTAATAAATGTTGTTATGAGAACAAGGTAATATAATAAATATACTGTTCCAGACCGGGCCAGTCACTTTTTCAAACAGTTTCTGAAATATCTGTGTTTTCTAAATTTGAATGCAAGTTGAGAAGTTACGAGTATACCAGGGTACTAATTAAATACATAATCTATTGAAAAATATAAAATTTATTGCAACTTTGAGCATATTATACATTAAATATCTTAAAATCAAATAATACCACACATCAGTGGCGGCTGGTGGATTTTGGGTATACCGATATCTCAATTATTAGATATGGAACCCACACCAAATTTATATGAGTTTATTATGACATTAATTAAACAAGTTCTGCGCAAGCAGAATTTAAATTGAAGTTTGCGAAAAAAAGATGACCGAAACATCGAACATGGAACTGACGACACGGATACAAATTTGAGATTGTAATTCGGAATTAAGTATTTTACTGATATTTTTATAAGTGGATGCTACTTATCAACAAATCACATATAGCCTTATATAAATTACAATGAAATATATATACGTAAGAAAATAAATACTCACCACAGTAATGAAATTTTGACTGGAACTATACGTGCATTCACCACAACTTCGCCGCTTGCATTGTTTTCAAGATGACTGTCGTGCAAAGGGCGGGCTCTGTAGGTAATTTTTTACCAACACTTGAGTTAAAACGAGGACTTGGCATTTAAACTTCAATATTTCGCAGGAATTTTGAATTTTAACATTGGACACAGAACTGACGGGTAAAAGAGTACAAAGATTATCAATTTTTTAAAAATTGCTATTATTCAAATCTATGATAAAATATGAAAAATACATTATTTAATGTTTTATAGTTTGTAGTGAAATTGAAAAATTTAAGAAAAATTGAATATATTTTAAAATAAAATCACTCAAATATTTGATTCAGGAGTTGTGACACGCCAAGGTACTGATGTTTTGAATATTTATTATGTTTTTCTATAAACATACTTTTGAAAAAATACATTAAAAATGGGTGGACAAGTTAAAAAAACCTGGATCTTTTGTAATATACTAAAATATTTACAAAAAATATTAAAATACCTACTCTATTGACTGATAACATCAAGTTGTCCAACTTTTGTAGAATCACCCATAAGTATTGAACCCAATTTGTTTTTTTTTGGAATTCGAAGACTGGGCGACGCGATACAAGCTTTTGAAGTTTTGGTTAAAGACAGTGCATTTTGTATATTGAACATACAGAAACGCCTAAACCTTCAAAATCTCGTAGCAAGGACCCCAGGTTTTTAAATTACTAAAATGCGCCAAATCATTAGCCTAAATGCCTGGATCAGGTTTAATATAAGTACCCAAATATAAACAAAATCCGACCTCTTTGATTTGTTTGTTGGTCGCTTAACTTTATAAAAACATAAATGGTGACACCCCTTAATATTAATATTATTGAATCATAATTTGTTAACATTATTTTTGTTGAACATAGTAGCGATTAAACTACATGGAACCCAGCAAGGTTTACGACTTTGTAGGTGAAAATAAAAAAATGTTCGGACCCCCATATACTTTTGTTTTCATGGAGACATTTTTACACATTAATTTCATCACTGTTACTTCAGGAACAGAGAAAATTAGCTGGCGAGACCAATATTATAATAAAGTACATTCGTGGAGTACCTAAAATAACAAATTTAAACTAAATAAGCCCTACAGATGCTTGAATCATTTTTAGTTTTATTTTCAAAATGCAAGGGGACTAAACAGCAAAGTCGAAAATTTATATACGTCAATACTATTATGCAACTACGATTTTATAGTACTAGTGGAGACTTGGCTTACCAAATATGTTAACAGCTACGAACTTTTTCCTGACAACTACTAAGTTATTCGCAAGGACCGCTCATTTCAAGAAACAAACACCAGCCGCGGTGGAGGCGTCTTGTTTGCGTACAAAACTGAATTTATCGTCGATAATGTGAATCTAGAGAACTTAACAAGTATTGATATGCTTTGTTGTAAATGTGTTGTTAAAAAATGCAGGGATTTTGTTTATGTTTTATATATTCCTCCTCACTTCAGGAGCAGAATTTCATTTATTTTTTGAGAATTTTGAGCAACATGTTTGTTTGCAAAAAAAATTATTATTTTGGGTGATTTTAACGTCAGTAAATTTGTTGATTTAAATATTTGTAATCAAAAAACTCAAACAATTTCAAGTATGTTAAGTTTTACAAATATTAGGCAGATTAATGATGTTCTAAATATAAATAAGCGCTTAGATTGCAAAGTATTTGAAGACAACCTACCGCTAGTAATTAAGAATGTAAATTAACATTAGAAAGATTGTCACTACTTCCTCTCAATAAATCTAGAAGACATTATAACTTTATAAAAGCTAACTTTCGCAATTTGTATCAAGTCTTACTGGAAGTTGACTGGGATTTTATTTGTGTGTTATAGTGATCCTGATATTTTGTGTCAGCAATTCTATAACAAATTATATTCGGTTTTCGATTTGCATGTTCCAATATCGATGACTTTCTGCCAAAGTATCGTAAGCAACATAACTAAAATTTCGGGAATCGAAAACATTTTTTGTCTTAAAGACTGTTTCAAATTAAATATAGCCTAAAGGTTTTATAACAAGTAAATAGCTTATAATTATAGCTATTTACTTGTTATAAAACCTATAGGTTATATATGGGTTAAAACAGATTTTAAAATAAAAAATGTTTTCAATTCCCGAAATTTGAGTTATGTTGCTTACGATACTTTGGCAGAAAGTCATCGATATAATATATGTTATACATATATGTTCGTAAGCAGTGTTAATAAAAAACTTAAAATATAATTTTATTATTATAAACTTTAAAAAAAAAAACCGGCAATGCAAAAATGTATAGTAAAGTCTCTCGGCTACGAAAACTTACTAAACAACAAACTAATACTGACTACAGAAACTGCATACCCCAAACAGAAAACAATCTATATACTAATCCTAAACAATTTTGGTCATTTGTTAATAATAAAAAAGATCTTCCAGAATTCCTGGGGGGAGTGCATAATGACAACGAAACTTACAATACGCCCGAGGAGATAGTAAATGGTTTTGCTAAATACTTTAGTAGTGTATACTCCCCTTCAGAAACAAAGGATTATGAAAGTAAACTCATTTCTAATTTTGCTTGTATAAATATTTCACCTATCCATGAATCAGATATATTAAAAATAATAAAAAAACATCAGGGCTAGATCTTATTCCTAGCTTTTTAATTAAAGACTGTGCTTTAATCTTTTCCCAACTACTTAACACCATTTTTGGTAAAATTCTTTCATGTGGAAAATTTCCATAGATTTTGAAAGAGTCTAAAATATGTCCAATACTTAGGTCCGGTGATCCTAGTAATATAAGTAATTATAGACCAATATCTATTTTAAACAATTTTGCAAAGGCCTTTGAGATTTTCGTATATACTCAAGTTTATTAGCAAATCAGATCTCTTATCTCACATAAACAACATGGTTTTGTGTCTGGTAGCCTACCAGTGGTAGTTCAACAGTAACAAACTTAACTATTATTAATCAGTTTATATCTAATATTTTGTTAGTAAATTTCAGGTTGATGTGATATATACAGATTTTGCAAAGGCCTTTGATAGGGTGGACCCTGTTAAGTAAGCTAGATCTTTATTATTTTAGCGAACCTCTATTAAAACTTTTTGAATCATATTTTAACAAAACGAAACAAATTGTATGTTATAACGGATTTATGTTATCTTCATTTGTTGCATCCTCGGGTGTACCCCAGGGATCCAATTTGGGTCCACTACTATTTAATATATTTATAAATGATCTGCCATCTAATCTTAATCTACTTTTTGCGGACGATCTTAAAATGTATGCACAAATACGAAATGTACAGGAGTGTGAAAATCTACAAAGAGAACTTAATTCTGTTAATGAGTGGTGTGCAAAAAATAAATTATATTTAAATGTAAAAAAGTGCAAAATATGTTCCTTTACACTAAATTTACAAGTAATAGTTTATGACTATAAATTAGACGATTCTCTATTATTACGAATTAATTCTATTAAGGATCTGGGTATAACCTTTGACTCAAAGTTATCATTTAATGAACATATACTTAATATATGCACATCAGCTAATCGCATGCTTGGTTTTATTATAAGAAACTGTAAATTCTTCTCAAGTATTCAATTCAATGTTT